CAATACATTTTATTAGGAAGAGAAATTTTTTAGGAATTGGGCGGGAAGTTAAAACTTCAGGATTTTGTTTTTATATATAGTATAGATTGTATTACACTATTTTATAATATTAGAATAGAATTTTAACGCAGAATTATTGTACGAATGGGAAAGTAGAAATCAACATATTTTATTAGGAAGAGAGATTTTTTAGGAATTGGGCGGAAGTTAAAATTTCAGGATTTTGTTTTTATATATATAGTATAGATAGTATAGATTGTATTACACTATTTTATAATATTTGAATAGAATTTTAACGCAGAATTATTGTACGAATGGAAAGTAGAAATCAATATATTTTATTAGGAAGAGAGATTTTTTAGGAATTGGGCGGGAAGTTAAAACTTCAGGATTTTGTTTTTATATATAGTATAGATTGTATTACACTATTTTATAATATTAGAATAGAATTTTAACGCAGAATTATTGTACGAATGGGAAAGTAGAAATCAACATATTTTATTAGGAAGAGAGATTTTTTAGGAATTGGGCGGAAGTTAAAATTTCAGGATTTTGTTTTTATATATATAGTATAGATAGTATAGATTGTATTACACTATTTTATAATATTTGAATAGAATTTTAACGCAGAATTATTGTACGAATGGAAAGTAGAAATCAATATATTTTATTAGGAAGAGAGATTTTTTAGGAATTGGGCGGGAAGTTAAAACTTCAGGATTTTATTTTTATATATAGTATAGATCAGATTGTATTACACTATTTTATAATATTAGAATATAATTTTAACGCTGAATTATTGTACGAATGGGAAAGTAGAAATCAATATATTTTATTAGGAAGAGAGATTTTTTAGGAATTGGGCGGGAATTTAAAATTTCAGGATTTTGTTTTTATATATAGTATAGATTGTATTACACTATTATATAATATTAGTATAGAATTTTAATGTAGAAATATTGTAGGAATGGAAAAGTAGAAATCAATATATTTTATTAGGAAGAGAGTTTTTTTAGGAATTGGGCGGGAAGTTAAAATTTCAGGATTTTGTTTTTATATATAGTATAGATTGTATTACACTATTTTATAATATTAGAATAGAATTTTAACGCAGAATTATTGTACGAATGGGAAAGTAGAAATCAACATATTTTATTAGGAAGAGAGATTTTTTAGGAATTGGGCGGAAGTTAAAATTTCAGGATTTTGTTTTTATATATATAGTATAGATAGTATAGATTGTATTACACTATTTTATAATATTTGAATAGAATTTTAACGCAGAATTATTGTACGAATGGAAAGTAGAAATCAATATATTTTATTAGGAAGAGAGATTTTTTAGGAATTGGGCGGGAAGTTAAAACTTCAGGATTTTGTTTTTATATATAGTATAGATTGTATTACACTATTTTATAATATTAGAATAGAATTTTAACGCAGAATTATTGTACGAATGGGAAAGTAGAAATCAACATATTTTATTAGGAAGAGAGATTTTTTAGGAATTGGGCGGAAGTTAAAATTTCAGGATTTTGTTTTTATATATATAGTATAGATAGTATAGATTGTATTACACTATTTTATAATATTTGAATAGAATTTTAACGCAGAATTATTGTACGAATGGAAAGTAGAAATCAATATATTTTATTAGGAAGAGAGATTTTTTAGGAATTGGGCGGGAAGTTAAAACTTCAGGATTTTATTTTTATATATAGTATAGATCAGATTGTATTACACTATTTTATAATATTAGAATATAATTTTAACGCTGAATTATTGTACGAATGGGAAAGTAGAAATCAATATATTTTATTAGGAAGAGAGATTTTTTAGGAATTGGGCGGGAATTTAAAATTTCAGGATTTTGTTTTTATATATAGTATAGATTGTATTACACTATTATATAATATTAGTATAGAATTTTAATGTAGAAATATTGTAGGAATGGAAAAGTAGAAATCAATATATTTTATTAGGAAGAGAGTTTTTTTAGGAATTGGGCGGGAAGTTAAAATTTCAGGATTTTGTTTTTATATATAGTATAGATTGTATTACACTATTTTATAATATTAGAATAGAATTTTAACGCAGAATTATTGTACGAATGGGAAAGTAAAAATCAATATATTTTATTAGGAAGAGAGATTTTTTAGGAATTGGGCCGGAAGTTAAAATTTCAGGATTTTGTTTTTATATATAGTATAGATTGTATTACACTATTTTATAATATTAGAATAGAATTTTAACGCAGGATTATTGTACGAATGGGAAAGTAGAAATCAATATATTTTATTAGGAAGAGAGATTTTTTTAGGAATTGGGCCGGAAGTTAAAATTTCAGGATTTTGTTTTTATATATAGTATAGATTGTATTACACTATTTTATAATATTAGAATAGAATTTTAACGCAGATTTATTGTACGAATGGGAAAATAGAAATCAATATATTTTATTAGAAAGAGAGATTTTTTAGGAATTGCGCGGAAAGTTAAAATTTCTGGATTTTGTATTTATATATAGTATAGATATAGATTGTATTACACTATTTTATAATATTAGAATAGAATTTTAACGCAGAATTATTGTACGAATTGGAAAGTGTAAATCAATATATTTTATTAGGAAGAGATATTATTTAGGAATTGGGCGGGAAGTTAAAACTTCAGGATTTTTATTTTATATATAGTATAGATTGTATTATACTATTTTATAATATTAGAATAGAATTTTAACGTAGAATTATTGTACGAATGGGACAGTAGAAATCAATATATTTTATTAGAAGAGAGAGATTTAGGAATTGGGCGGGAAGTTAAAACTTCAGGATTTTGTTTTTATATATAGTATAGATAGTATAGATTGTATTACACTATTTTATAATATTAGAATAGAATTTTAACGCATAATTATTGTACGAATGGGAAAGTAGAAATCAACATATTTTATTAGGAAGAGAGATTTTTTAGGAATTGGGCGGGAAGTTAAAATTTCAATTGTATTACACTATTTTATAATATTAGAATACAATTTTAACGCAGAATTATTGTACGAATGGGAAAGTAGAATTCAATATATTTTATTAGGAAGAGAGATTTTTTAGGAATTGGGCGGGAAGTTAAAACTTCAGGATTTTGTTTTTATATATAGTATAGATAGTATAGATATAGTATAGATAGTATAGATAGTATAGATGTGAGGAGCCGAGGAGGCAGTAACACTTTCAATCTTTGAAGATTCTACCGATTCTCTTCAGACCAATATAATAGTCCCTCACTTGACAATTTATATCCTACACCACGGCGCGTGTTGCACTGTGCGCCCAGATGCAAAACGACGTCGTTTTAATTTTATTTTTTTTTTTGAAATTTCCCGCCCCAGTGAATGGCAGTTACTTGTTTTTTGAAAAAAAAAAACCCTGGTAAAAAATGTACATAATGTTATACTAGAATACACATAATTGTATACATGAATGTACATAATTATATAACAAAATATACATACTCTTTTTAAAAGATAATACACATAATCTAGCATAATACATAATAAACATAAACTTTTAACATAATACACATCAACTCTTAACATAATACACACAAATTTTCTGATTCGGATGTACATAATTGTATAAAAAGAATGTACATAATTGTATAAAAAATGTACATAACTGTATGAACAAATACACATAATTGTGTGAACAAATACACATAATTGTGTGAACAAATACACATAATCCCAGCAACTTCCTACAGCACCTCCCAAAACGACCCAAAACGACGTCGTTTTGGAAGGCGTGCGGCGCACAGTGCTATGTGCGCCGTGGTGTAGGGTATAACGATTGCCCTCACTTTAGCATTAATCTCTCTTCCGTGGGAACTTACATTACTCTTTGAAGCATCACCTTCTCATTAAGCCACTTTTTACGTGACATAAGCATGATATAGTAATATTCAATGAGGAATGTTGTAAATAAATATAAGTGGACATTACTAGCTAAAAGGTATTATATTATGATAATAATTCTTCATCATTTATAGTTATAGTATAATTTTGTACATCGTGTATATATATATTTGATTAAAAGATGAATAATAAAAGATTGATAATTTTCTCCTTGTATCACGTTTCTCTTACTTCATTGTATTCCTATTACTTTTCGACAATCGTGATGATACAACATTCATGCGAGTATATGTTAGTTTTAATACAAATAGAAATAATCATGTATGATTTACACATTGATTCTGCATGCCTTTTGTCTTCTTTTTTTTTTTAAAAAAAAATTATTTATTAAAGGTCTGAAAATTATTATAACAAGTACAAAAAAAAAAACACTGCGATAACAGTTTTAAAATAGCTTCAAATCTGCAGAGTATACTAAAATTACTGGAAATTAAAACAACACAACAAACAATAGGGAAAAGACATACAATTATACAAATTAAAAGTAGTACTGCACTCCATCAAGTAAGGTTCCCAAGGCCAATTAGTAGAAGCAATTGAGAAGTGTAAAGTTGTGTGCACGTACGCTGCCCTTTAATCTGCCTGCAATCACAAGCTAAGGTCTATGAAATGCAACAACGTAACGTTGTTTTATATGCAATATAAAAAGCAGTACGTAATTACCTTTGCAAATTTAATTTAATTTGTTCTTCTTCTGCCATGTCTTCTTGGAATAGTATTTTTGGAACCCTTTCCTCTCTTCCATATGAGTTTTCTTAGCAACCAGTTGAGTTTTTCATATCGCAGAGCAAAATATCCCACACAAACTCCAAATGGAAATGAACAGCAGTATCCTATCGTCACGCTCTGCCAAGAAAATCCATTAAAAAAACCTGAATCCTCCTCCTCATCCTCTTCTTTTGAGTTCACAGGTGGGTTTTTAGCTCCACATTCTAGTGTCAATGGAAACCCGCATAATGCTGTGTTCCCCGAATAGGAGTCATTGCCAATTGTATCAAGTTGCCCGCTGCGGGGTATTGCTCCCAATAAATGATTATAGGAGAGGTTCAGTACTTCCAGAAATCCAAGCTTTGATAGTTGCAATGGAATTTCCCCCGTCAGCTGGTTGCAAGACATGTCTAGCGCTTCAAGCAATGTTAGATTTCCCAATGATGATGGTATAAGGCCAGTTAGCCTATTATGAGACAGATTGAGATGCCGAAGAAAACCAAGGATTCCTATTGAATTAGGAATGTCTCCATCAAACATGTTACTTGATAAGTCTATGAGTGTGTACAGGTATAGAATTTCTTCCACGGGATGCTCAGACCCTTTCACCACTAGCATTACAGAGCTTCCAAAAGCATAATACAAATGGTCATTAGAGTATGTTACAACTAAATGAGGAGTAATATCATTTATAATCCCAGTAAAATGCAGCAAATAATTTTCAGGCAAATGTCCAGTGAAGTGATTGTTGGAAAGATCAAGAACTCGCAGCATAGGGAATGGAATCTTGGTGGTAGGATTTCCTATCACCCCATAAAAATTATTACAACTTAAGATGAGCACTGCCAATTGTGGAAGAGCATCTAACCAGTGTGGGAATGAGTCATTTAGACCATTGTTTCCAACATCAAGAACTTGGAGAGCTATACAGTTGAGCAGAGTACGAGGTAATGGTCCTTCAAATTCATTATAATGCAAGATGAGAATTTGCAGAACATCACCCTTTAAAGCTTCTTCTGGAATGTTTCCATAAAAGTGATTCATGCTTAAATCAAGTAGCGACAATGTTGTGCTTAGATTTCCCAAACACGAAGGAATAACGCCACTCAAACTATTATGAGATAGGTCAACAAATTTGAAAGAGGTTGAACTGCAAAACTCTCTATGCATAGTGATGGAATTAATTAAACCGGGGGTCCGACTTAACTAACCCGAATAAGAATACGAATAATAAATAAATGGTACGAAGGATATGGCAAAGACCATGAGACCGTAGATTGTATTAAATGCCGTAGAATTGGCTATTACAGCAGTATTTTAGGACAAAGTATGTAGGAAATGTAGAGCGTGTCTTAACTAGACAAGGTGGGGGTTTTTTATACAACCCCCGCCCCTAACCGCCATCCCCTAACACGGGGGGTGGTTAGATCCGAGTTGACCGCGCCCGGTTTCGCCACCGGGCGGTGCTGTGGGGCCAGGCCGAGCACGTCATGGGCTCTGGCCGAGCCCATGTGGAGGTCGGCCCGACCTCCTGGAGAGGTCGGCCCGGCCTCCAACGTGGCCCGTACGGGGGCCACGTGGTGAGGCCCCGGTCGGGGCGGGTACATGCCGCCGCCCCGGGACCCGTTCTTGCCCGCGCCCTCGGGTCGGTGCGGGTCGGTTCCTAATATATCCGTCATCAGTCCCCCACTCTCCGAGCTGCGAGTAATCGTCAATGAAGGAGAGTAGACGCTCTGGCCGACCTCCAAAAATGCCGACCCCGAGACGTCCGCGTCCCCGCGTTATAGTTGCCGTCCAAGTGTACTTCTCGCGATAATGATGAAAAAACTCCCTCCGGAATATGACTCCTTCATCTGTTAGGACACATACACAGTAGAGTCCTCTTAGGTCTTGGTCATCTTCTCCAAGTCAACCAATCACATCCATCTTTTCCCCTTTTCCCCCCCTTTTTTGCATTTCGAATTTCAAAACTCCCCCTCTTCCTATCTCCCCCACTTCTATATAAACCCCTTCTCCCCTCTCATTCCACACTTTTACCATCCCAACATCACACTCTTCTCCCCCCAAGTTCCGGCGAGCCACCACCTCCACCGGCGAACTTCCGGCGACCTCCCCCCGCGGCGGCAACCCGACCTCCGACCGACCCCAGCTGCTCCCCGTCGCCGAGCCCCGGGCCCGAGCGCGGTATGCCCCTTCTTCCTCCTCTTTTTCCCTTTTTTTTTTTTCTTTTTTTCTTTCGCTTTTGCCACCTGCCGCCCGTCACGGCGTCGGCGCACCAGCGTCGCCGCGACACTGCCGCGGGGTGGGCCTCTGGGCCGCGCCTCCGTGGCCGTGCCTCCGTGGCCTCGCCGCCCCCCGCCGCGTCGCAGCAGCGCCGGCCCCGGTCTTGGCCGATTCGCTGCGTTGGTCTCGCGTCGGCTATGCCGACCTCGACCTCGGCCCTGGGCCGAGGTCCTCCACAAACCGCCCCAATTTTTTTTTTTTTTTCGAACACGCCGTCCATCACGGCGCCGGTGCGCCGGTTTTTCCCCGAACACGCCGTCCGTCACGGCGCTGGTGCGCCGGCGTCGTCGCCACGGGGTGGGCCTACAGGTCGCGCCTTCGTGGCCGCGTCGTCCTCCGGCGTCGGGGCGAGCCGGCCCCGTGCCGCGCCGACCTCGCACGCCGAGGCCGTGCTGACCCCGGGGTCGGCCCGGCCTCGGTGTGCCGACCTCGACCTCGGCCCTGGGCCGAGGTCCTCTAAAACCGCCCCCCCCCCCCCCCCCCCCCCCCCTTTTTTTTTTTTTTTTTTTTTTTTTTTTTCCGAACACGCCCCTGTCTTACACCCCTTCTTTTTTATCTCGTAGGTTTAGTTGGTGCATGTACACTTCTTCCGGTTCCTTGGACGATTTTTTGGACTCCGTAGACACTCACATCCTTCCCATGGACGAAACCAGCGACCCCCCCCCCCCCCCACTCCTTTTCCTGCTCATTCCCCCTCTGGGGAAGTCACCATGCCATACGAAGGTCCGTTGGACGCCCATCCTCCCGTCATGGAGGACCCCTTTGCGGTCCCGTACGAGGATCCTGTCCAGTACACCCCTTTGGAGACACTCATCGCGGCCTCGACTTTGGCTCGGACCTCCGTGTAGGAGTTTGAGGAGGCCGAACGCTATGTTGGATCTGTGGGCGATGTACGCCTGCCTTCCCTATCGGCGAATGTCACCGAGCCTCCGACACCTCTCTTCTTCGGGGTTCACGTGCAGTCCCTGTACCTCGGTTTTTGCTTCCCTATTCATCCCTTCATCGAATCCTTCCTCAACCATTACGGCATTGCACCCGGGCAGTTGGTGCCCAATGCCCATTACCTACTTCTTGCCTTCTTGCTTCGCTGCCACACCATTCGTGTCAAGCCCTACCTGGATCTCTTCCAGAGTTTGTTTCAAGTCACTTCGTCCTCCGGCCAGGCCAGTAAGGGGTTCGTGGGTATAGCGGCCCGGGCGCGTATGAAGACGTTCCATGACTTCAATCAGACCAACAGAGATTGGAAACCGCACTTTGTCTTCATCTCGGTTGGTGATCGTCGGCCGTTCCTATCTTGGAACAACAGGTTTGTGCGCCACAGGACCCCGCCCCAGACGGCCGCCTTAGCCCGGGACGTCCACGCCTTTCGGGGTGATCGGGGAGAGATTGTCATTGGCGAGATGATTACGCCGGAGAACATGCGTAGCCTGGGCTTTGTGTCGGATGGGCCGCTACTGCCTCGTATTCGCCCGCGCCTTCTGCGTACGCCCCAGTCGGACGCGCGTCCCTTGATCGAGTTATCAGACGATGAGCCGCCAGAGCAGTCCCCGGGATCCTCGGGGTCTTCGGGCGAGGTTTTTGCCGAGCCCAGGTCCTCCGGGTCTGCTGTCGGCCCACCGCGTGCCTCTACTCGTGGTTTGTTCCCCTTTATTTGCTAGACCATCGTTTGTATATTTGGCTTACGGTTTAACCCTTGCTCGTCTCCTTTTACAGCGAGATCTCCCATCATGTCTTCGTTCCGTGAGCGTCTCGAGCGCGTCGTGGCACGTGGCCCTGTTGCGAAGAGACAGAAGGTTACTGCACAGTCTGGCGCGCCCCCTTCTGAGCCTGGTGCGCCCCCGCCGGGAGGGATGCTGCCGCAGGTGAGTCGCCCCCCCCGTACCGCCGGCCGTTCCGCCTCCGCTGCCGCCTGCCCAGCACACGACGCGGAGCTTGCCCGCTATCATGCGAGAGGCCCTCCGGACCATCGAGGTATGTATTATTGCTTGTGGTTTCCTTTACTACACTTAGTCCTTGTTGTTGTCTTGTTATGATTGTGCCTCTTCGCAGGGTTGGGTCGTGTCCACCGTGGCCCTTGCCGAGGATGAGCAGGGTCGCGCTCGCGAGCTGGTGCGAGCCTTGGAGGCTAAGACCAGGCGGGCCGATGAGGCAGTCAGGCGTGATGCCGAGTCCCGGCAGGCCTTGGAGGCGGAAAGGAAGAGGCATGCGGAAGAGCTTGGACAGGTCATCCCCGCCTACAAGAAGTCTGATGAGTTCGAGCGAGATGTTCGTGGGCGCAGCGGCGACATAGTCACCTCGTGGCTGGCTAGTGACGTTGGAAAGGAGAGGATTGCGGAGGAAAGCGCTATGGCCTTCCAGGTGGGCCGATATGCTATGCAGCAGGAGATCTAGACCGCCCTTCGCCAGAAGGGAGACGCCTTCGACCCGGTCGTCCTTGATCTGCCGACCGAGATGGAGAACCCCGAGCCAGTGACCCCCGCGGCGGGCTTCTCACTATCACCCCTTGATCGCGCCGACGAGCCTGTGGAGTTGGTGGCCTCCTCGGGAGTTATTTCCCCCACTTTGCTGAGCGTTCATGTTCCTGACTTGGATGAGGGGGCCGAGGGAGTGACCGTCGTCGTTGCCCCGTCGACTGAGCTGCCACTCGCCACTGCGCCGGGTTCTGATGAGCAGCCTTGATTGTGCTTGTTTTAGCTCATTCCCTGTTTTGTGTATCCGGGCATAGACTTTAGACGTGTATTCTTGCCCTCTTTTGCTGTTTATTTCCTTTGATGACTCTTCCTGCTTTATCTTGCTATGCTTCGAATGTTGGATCTTCATTATATGCTTAGGACTTATGTTTGATTATGCGTTCTTGCTGCCGTAACCATGTTGGATGTTTTTTTTTTTTTTTTTTTGAGTGCCCGACCAGTGTCGGGGGTCTTGATGCAGCGTGGCGGACGCCGGCGGTACGGCCGAGGTGCACACAGCATGGTGCACCCCGGCAGCACAGCCGAGGTGCACGCAGCATGGTGCGCCCCGGTTGTGCGGCCGAGGCGGCACCTTGTTGCGCCCCGGTGTTGCCGGGGCGTGATAGGCCTATCTTTTTTTTTTTTTTTTTTTTTTGTTTTTGTTTTTTGCCTAGTGTTAGCCCCAAAACATAGTCCTACGAGACTACGCCATCGGGCTCCCCTTCGGGGTTGGTACGCGAGGTCGGGCCTCGTGCCCCCTTAGGGTGCGTCAGCCGCTCGGGCTAAGTCCTTCCGGACTACGCCACCGGGCTCTTCCGTCGGGGTTGGTACGCGAGGCCGGACCTCGTGCCCCCTTAGGGTGCGCCTAACCGCTCGGGCCTAGTCCTTCCGGACCAAGCCACCGGGTTCCTCCGTCGGGGTTTGTACGCGAGGCTAGGCCTCGTGCCCCCTTAGGGTGCACGCTAGCCGCTCGGGCCAAGTCCTTTCAGACTGTGCCCCCGGGCTCTTCTGTCGGGGTTAGTACGCGAGGCCGGACCTCGTGCCCCCTTAGGGTGCGTCTTCCGTCGGGGTTAGTACGCGAGGTCGGACCTCGTGCCCCCTTAGGGTCCGCGGGGGAAAACATGAGTGAGCACTCGTTCCCCTTTGTTTCATGATGATTTTTTTTTTTAATTTAAAGGAGAAAGAATGGATGAAAAAACCCAAGTGGTGATATTATTGCCGTTCACTAAAACATTATTGGGGGAGGGGAATGGTCTTCCTCCAAAAATAGGATTTCAATATCCACCTTTCACGCGGCGGGCCTATTGGTAG